CGAACCCGATGAACCCGAACCCGATGAACCCGAACCCGACTAACCCGCAACCGACTAACCCGCAACCCGTTTGAACCCGAACCCGATTGAACCCAGCCCGAACCCGCCCGATTGACACTTATAATCATAACTCCTGGAGGCCTTGCTGGAACATTTGGAGTGCAGTTTGATTCCTTAAGCACCCATATATGAAATCAACAGTTTGGCAATCCCCTTTAGCTCGACCCTAAAGAAGCTTTAAATCAATCCATTGGAATTGATGTTTCTTTTATGGAACCAACTATACTATGTGGATTCGTTGAATCGTAATGGATCTCAAGATGGGTACAAGTTGGGTTTCATAGATGGTAGTATAACCATGCCGTTAGTTAATGATCATAAATATTTACTATGGGATGGTTGTAATACCAGTGTTTTGTCTTGTAATCTCAATTACTTACAGAAGGATTTAAGGGGATTCGTTATTAATCATATCAATGCGAAGGTCTTATGAGCAATCCATTCATTAGCTAGCTTTACAGCCTAAAAGTCTACGTTTTTACGCTTTGGATCCTCCTAATATTGTAGCTTTTGTTCAAAAAGCTTTTTGCACCAAAAGCCAAAGCAAAAGCCTTCAAGCCTAATAAAAGCCTAGAAGCTAGCTTTTAAATCGCTTTTTTAGACTTTTGATATCCAAGTGTCAGGACAATGTTGTAGGGGAGTGAAATGGTACAGTTAGAATCGGACCGGACAAATATCAATCAACATTGCATTTGATCCAGTATGATCTGATTTGGTATGATCCAAATATCAATCAAGCGTATTTCCCTTCATATTTATAAATTTCATAGGATCATAGACTAGACCACATTATATTCAGATGGTTTGGTGGGTGTGGTCTTCTTTTAAACAAACCGTTGCACACACTATCATATTGGGTCTGGTTTGATTTAGTTTTGCTGGCTAAAATAGAAGGAACGACACAGTTTTATTGGTTTTTAGTTGGCTTATCCTTTCAGTCTTCCCTTCTATGAATTCCTAATTCATAATCAATTACCACTTATCCTTCGCTCTCTTCTTTTCTCTGCTCCAAAATCAGCACACGCCGCATCCATATTACTACTGCCACCATCCTTTCCTATCCATGCAACTCCAACCCACCCCAATGACTACACTATCATAAAATCTAGTCTTCTTCAGCCTCCCATTTTCCTCCACCTTCACATATTAGTGAAGATTTCCTACACCCCTTGTACCTTCATCGTTTGCCAATGGTTTCCACTTCCCATATCCCCCCCCCCCCCTTGAAAACACGAGGAAGGTGAGGAATGCTTATTTATAATTATATTAATTAACTTTAAACGTATGAGAGTGATCTTTAATACATGATCTAGTTTAATTATTTGTTTATATTTTTCAAGATAAAATTTATGATCATAATATTTCTATCAAATTTATAAAAAGGTTTAAAAGGTTATACTTTTACACTTTGCTTTTGCACTTCCGTTTTTACCCATCATTCCGCTTTTACATAGAAGTTAGACATAGACTGCATTACTTATGAGATGAACTGGAAAATACATATGGAAAGTCAAATGCTATAAGGATAACAAATCTAGACGATGAGATTCACAAGTGTAAGTAGGGTTCACAAATCATTAAGCAGTATTACACACATATAAAAGCTTGGGGGGGGGGGGGATTTCTTCAATTGAGTACAGTTGTGTCCTCACATGCAATTGTGCACCTGGTAATCCTTGTGATGTAGTGGTGGTATACACTAAGAGATATGAAACTGACTACTTGATATGTTTCTTGAGCGGACTCATATCACATTATGAGATATTCAGGAGTAAAATATTGTCTTAGAATACACTTTTTATTGTATTCAAAGTCATGGATAACTTACTCTAATTAAAAAGTGATGCAAATGGATAGAAGACAAAGTGTGGCTCTGGTTGTCAGTACTGGATAAGAGACTAATCAAAGATCTCAAGGAAGGAAATTATGCATCTACTGAGACCTGACCATATTGTGGAGAATGTTGGAGGGCAAAGAGAAAGATTTCCTTAAATTGAAAGTAGTTCTAGTTGCTCACAAACTAGCACTCCCATGTTTACAGGCTTAGTATCATAATCCTTTATAGGGGAAAACCATCAGACGTAAGTTTCTCTTTTGAAACTCTGGAGGAAGTCATGCAAGTGCGTCAAAGACAATGGTTGGTTTTCCACCTGAAGACATCTAAAAATTAAGGCAGATGATGCACTTTGGTGCTAACATGTTCCTTCACCACCAACAAATCAATCCAGAGCACACACTTCACACTCTATGTCCCAGTTTCTTCCACCATTTCCAAACTATTTATGTACGTACATTCTGTCATCCTTCACAAAACAAACCAATTCAGCTACCTTTTGGATCTTAGATATTGGACCCTCAGATCACATTACACATTCTTTACCTTGTTTTTTTAACATAACGAGGTCCATAATACATTTGTCCATTTAACTCATGCATCTAAGGTCTTAGTAACTCATATAAGTACCATTAAACTATCTTCAAGTCTTTATATGTACAATGTCCTTCTAGTTCTAGGGTTTTCATTCAAGCTACCTTTTGTTAGCAAAATCACACTTGATTTCCCATTAGCATTAAAATTTCATTCTGATTTATGTCAAATCCAGAACCTACAAACCATGAGGATGTTTGGTCTAGCAAGATAATTAGAGCTCTTTAAAGCTCACTTTCACCTCACCTCAAAGTTAGCAATCCATATCTCATCAAGCATCAAGCACTTTCAATTTTAGCCTTCATAAAATATTTCTATGACATTGGATACTATGAGATCCTAGTAGAGAGAAATTTTCATAAAACAGTTTCTAAGTTTGAATCTGGATAATGTATATTTTTTATCCAAACCCTTTTTAGATTCTTTTATATTATCCAAACCTATTAAATTGCTATTAATTAGCCAAATCTTTCGTAATGTATCAAGATATTAGCCATTTTTACGTTATCATTAATAATTTTGCAACTCTTTTCTTAGTTAAAATACTAAAATTTTGGAATGTTGACCTTAATGTGTCTCTTTCAAGTCGGTATCATGTTGCCAAGTCAATATTACTAACAAAATTGCTAACTAAAAGTTTATATTTGGCTAATTCTTAATATTTCGATAAGTTTGGCTAATAAATAAAATCCGAAAAAGGCATGGATAATAAATAGACATTACCATTTGAATATTGTGAAAGTTGTTATTTCTCTAAACACAAAAGCCTATCTTTCTTTGTTAGCACCAATGTTGCAGATTACTTATTCCAAATGATCCATGTAGACATTTGGGGACATTTATATGTTCGATATTGTGATGGATTGTTTTATTCTCTTTTGATTGTTGAGGATGACCATTCAAAAACAATCTAGGTGCTCCTAATGCAACATAAAAGTGAGACAAGAGAATTGTAAGGGAATTCTACAATCTCATACAGAATCAATTTAATAAAATATCAAAATAATAAGAAGTGATCAATGTTCAAAATTCATTTTTTTGAAAGTAAAATTCACATAACTCTATTTTCATCTTTTAATGATGAAGAGTTGTATTTTAAATCGTTGAAACTTTTGCAATCCATACCAAACACCTCATAAACTATGGTTGGTGAAGTTATGGAACCCGCTGATCGTATTGATGGCATTTTGTGAAATTAGTGGTTAGTGGATTTATGTTAAAAAGAATACATATGTAACTGTTATTTGATTTGGAAAATCAAAATTTGTGGGTGAATATTATGTAAATATCAATTGCCACAATTTCTACCAAGAAACATCACTCTATAATTAAGACGATATAAATAAATAAGTGCTTACCTATTTGGATCACACCTATCTCGATCTCAATTAAATAATTATTTGTCCCCTTATATCTCAATCTAGTTATTTCTCAAATCTTTCAGCTACCTCTAATTTAGCGAAAGATACATTATTTCTAATTAATAATAATTTTGTATTTTATCGATATTTGAAAAATCATATTTACTATATAGTATATCAAATGTTGTGTTGTATATCAACATATAAAAAGAACGATGTAAAAGTGTTAAAATGATTACAACAAAGACTTAAAGCTATAATAAAATTGGTAGTAGTGATGGCAATTTAACTAGTTTCGTCGGGTATTACCCGATCAGATCCGAGTTGGGGCACCCAGTAGCGTGCGGTGACGTATGTGTATGGTTGGTAATCGGTCGGTATCCAGTATACCAGATACCGAGGGGATATACCGCCAATTGAAATTCTGCCACCTAATACCGATACCGAAAGCTATCTGGTATACCAGATACCAGATAGTTGATTACCGGTATTTTAACCAGTATACCGGATATCGAAAAGATCGTTTTCTTCCAAAACTGCAGTCATTGAATTGTGAGTTCTAAATTTGCTGGAAAAAAACCTTTCGGATTATAATATTTTTTAATATGTAGAGAAATGTTCAAAGATGGAATATATAGAGCTTGTATGCTCTCTCTAAACTTGTGAAGTTTTGATGGTGATGATGCATTCTCATTGGATGCGAGGTCTGGTCCTTTTTTATTCTTTTCATTTGTACATGGTTTGGTTGTTAGCATGCAATCCAACGACAATCCGGTATACAATTATGTAAGGTTTGTCCTGCTCTTTCTTAACTCGTTTTACCTTGATTTATCTCAATATTTAATTATATTTCTATTATTTTACTCATCATAAAATCAAAATTTCAAACATTAATACTTTAGATCAAGGTTGTCAACTTGGTTTAGCCTATTAGCGCAGTCAAGCTATTGAGTCAATGGTTAATGGGTCGATTGGTTTAGCCCATTTAATCCAAATATATATATAAAAATTAATTATATTGTATATATATAAATTATATTAAATCTTATCTAACTTATAAATCATAACATATAATATTACACTAATAGTTCGTAATTGAACTCAAAGCATTCAACGTGTAATCGCTGATACTATAACCCACAAGAAAGGCCTAATTTATGCGCTATTCACGTGTATTTCTTATTATTGGCCTTTACATGCCTCCCAAACATCTTGCTGCCTTTTTTTTCTTCTTTGGAATCCGCAAGATGGTTGACCTCTCTTCTTTCTTTCTCCCACACACATATCTCTCGTGATAAGGAGATTATGTAAAACTTAGTGAATGTTATAAGTTTATATATATATTAATTAATAATTAACGCTATATGCCATCCATCCCTTTTAGGTACTAGAGGACCCATTACACTAGCTAGCACAACCAGCAATGCTTGTTATTAAAATAACCCATTGGTCGAAGTAGTGATTGTCATAACTGAGCAGCCTATTAGTACGATATTGTTCACTTTGGGCAAAGCCAGCACGGATTTAGCTTTGGGTATGCTCCCAAAAGGCCTCGTACTAATGAATTTGGTGGAAACTAATATACAAGGGCTCCTTCCCTTATATTTCTGATGTGGTACTTGGATTGTCTCATAACAATCCTCCTCTCAAGCCAAGGACCCGGAACTTCGTGTACTCTCCTCAACGATTATCTTGATCCGCTGAACACCTTGTATCGATGGGCTTCTCGATACAAGAATTTTTCCAGATGCGAAGCTCTCTTTTGATCCGCCAAACAAACGTGGATCTCTCCTAGATTCACCAAACATAGGCGGACCAACCTTGATTCTCCAAACCAGATGTAGCCCAAACATGAAATCTCTCGTGGATCCACCAAACCGACATGGATCTCTCATGGATCCACCAAACCAGACGCAGATCTCAAATCTTGAGATCCACCGGATGAGGGTCCCACCAAACTGACGTCCACCGCCCCAAACCGAACCAGGCTCTGATACCACTTGTCATAACTGGGGTGCTCAATTAGTACGATATTGTCCGCTTTGGGGCAAGCCCGCACGATTTTACTCTTGGGTGTCCTCCTTAATAGGCCTCGTACTAATGAGCTTGGTGGACACTAATATACAAGGGTCCCTTCCCTTGTATTTCTGATGTGGTACTTGGATTGTCCCATAACAATCCTCCCCTCAAGATAAGGACCACGAACTTCGTGTTCTCACCTCGACGATTATCTTGATCTGCCAGACACCAAAGCCCAAACAAGGATCTCTCCTTGATCCACAAAACATACGCGAATCACCTTTGATCCGCCAGACAAACCCAGATTTCAAATCCCGAGTTCACCGAATGAGGGTCCACCAAACTGACGCCCACCGCCCTGGATCCGCCAAACCAGTCTCTGATACCACTTGTCAAAATTGGGCAACTCTATTAGTACGATATTGTCCGCTTTGGCCAAACCCGCACAGTTTTACTCTTGGATGTCCTCCCCAAAAGGCCTCATGCTAATGAATTTGGTGGACACTAATATACAGGCGGTCCTTCCCTTATATTTTCGATGTTGTACTTGGATTGTCTCATAACAATTCTTGATCCGCTCGAGGCCTTGTATCGATGGGCTTCTCGGTACAAGGACTTTTCCAAACGCGGAACTCTCTTTTGATCCACCAAAAAAACGTGGATCTCTCCTAGATCCACCAGACAGAGATACATACCTCACTTGATCCGCCAAACCAGATGTTGCCCAAATGTGGATCTCTCGTGGATGCACCAAACCAGACGCAGATCTCAAATCCCGAGGTCCACCGAATGAGGGTCCCACCAAACTGACGTCCACCGCCCCAAATCGGACCAAGCACTGATACCACTTTTCATAACTGGGGTGCTTAATTAGTACGATATTGTCTGCTTTTGGCCAAGCCCACATGGTTTTACTCTTGGGTGCCTCCCCAAAAGGCCTTGTACTAATGAGCTTGGTGGACAATAATATACAAGGGTCCATTCCCTTGTATTTCTGATGTGGTACTTGGATTGTCCCATAACAGTGATTAAGTTGTCATCTACCTTTGTGTTTATGGTCAGATCCTTGTGTAGATGTGTTAAAGAATGGTATGGTATGAGGGATATTCCCTCCCTCCAATCAAATTGTCATTGTGGCATAGTATTATTTGATGAGATCTAGGATTAAGTACTATCCCCCATACATAACAAATCAATATGGGCTGATGTTGGTTTACGATTTTCAAGTGTATTATTAACATTGTTTCGCAAGGCGATCTTAAAGAATGATATAAGATATGTTTTGTTATTCATCAAATCAACGCAATAATTTATTTTAATTAACTATAATTGTGTAAAATAAGGATGAACAACGAATGAGTTGAATGATTGTTACACTAACATTAACTAGTGTTGGCAGGAGCAACGTTGAATTTGAAGATTGATTGCCGCTGACCGTTGAGAAATTGAAGGATTCAGATATGGAAGCTTGGCGAGCTCTTTCCTCCTTTTGATTTCAACGGCTCCTTTTGGTCCTATATATATTGTCCTCTTTCTCTTGTTTGATCTCTCAGAATAATAGAGGTATAAGTCTATTGGAAAGATTCTGAGGGGCTCAGCATCAGAGGAAGATGTTCTGATTGCTGGAGGTTGTAATCGGGTCTGGGATTGGATCTGGGAAATAGCTTGTGTCTTGCATGTATTTGCTTCTCATTTTTATAGGTGAAAAAGAAATAAAACGATTCCCTCGGAACTTAGCAGGTGCTATCTCCGAGACGAGGAATAACCCGTGATTGGGGAACCTCATTAAAATTCTCTGTGCATTTTCATTTCAGTTATGTTCCTCCTCTCTGCTTTTCATTCTTGTTCTGTTTTTCATTCGATTGTTTTGGGAAGAAGAAGCCACTAAAGGTTAAGGAGAATTCCTTTTTGGTTGGGCTTAGAATTGCAAGCCCAACTAACCTAAGTCTTCTTCCTTCTCTTTTGTTCTTGATTCGGTCCCACTCACTTAATAGTCCAGCTTATTGTCCTATGAAAGAAAGTAGAAGCACAGACTCGTGGTCCTCCTTCTTCCACTTCAATCATCTTGCTCCTCTTCCTTTTGCGGCTCGCATTACTCAGCTCCTGTTGGCCTTGCCTATCTCCCTCTTCTCATTTTGCACTGCGTATCCCACTCTGTGGCTCTCTGCTGATGACGTACTTGACGAACTGGAGATTGTGATTGGGGGAGAGGAGCATCCTGTCAACATGATATGGATATCCGACTCTGATTCTGATTCAGACTCTGATCCTGGTGCCAATGCTGGCGGCGCAGAGCTGAAGTCCGAATCTGACTCTGATTCATTCTCTGAACCTGGTGACGATGCTGGTAACGGAGTGTTGGAGCCATTTGCAGCTGCTCTTCAAGAACTATATGGATCTGATACTGATTCTGCATCCAACAACCGCTCGATCTCCGACTTTGCCGCGACTATTGAGAAAGGAATTGAAGATCTCTTTTAATTTTGGTTGTTGTTAGTTTCTCAGGGGGAGTTGTTAGTTTCTAAGGGGGAGATTAGTTTGGTTTGAGAGCTTTTTGTTTTCAGTCGGTCTTTTTTCTTTATGTCTGGATATTTTTTTCTTAATCTGCTGTGTCAGGATTTGTGACGTTTGGTTCAGTTTCCTTCAGTCTTATTTGAACTGTTTCCCTGTTATCGTTATCCCAGTGGTACTGTGTTTTAAGTTGCTATGCTGGTACATCTCATCGGCAATCTCAATCTCCAACTTAGGGAGAGATTGTTGGCAGGAGAAACGCTGAATTTGAAGATTGATTGTCGCTGACCGTTGAGAAATTGAAGGATTCAGAAACGGAAGCTTGGCGAGCTCTTTCCTCCTTTTGATTTCAAAGGTTCCTTTTGGTCCTATATATATTGTCCTCTTTCTCTTGTTTGATTACTCAGAATAATAGAGGTATAGGTCTATTGGAAAGATTTTGAGGGGCTTAGCATAAGAGGAAGAGATCTGATTGCTGGAGTTTGTAATCAGGTCTGGGATTGGATCTGGGAATTTGCTTGTTTCTTGCGTGTATTTGGTTCTCATTTTTATAGGTGAAAAAGAAATAAAAAGAGTCTCTCGGAGGTTAGCAGGTGCTATCTCTGAGACGAGGACTAACCCGTAGATTGGGGAACCTCGTTAAAATTCTCTGTGCATTTTCATATCAGTTCTGTTCCTCCTCTCTGCTTCTGCTCTACTTCCATTCTTGTTCTATTTTTCATTCGATTATTCTCGGAAGAAGAAGCCACTAAAGGTTAAGGAGAATTCCTTTTTGGTTGGGCTTAGAATTGCAAGCCCAACTAACCTAAGTCTTCTTCCTTCTCTTTTGTTCTTGATTCGGGCTCGCTCACTTAATAGTCCAGCTTACTGTCCTGTGAAAGAAAGAAGAAGCACAGACTCGTGATCCTCCTTCTTCCACTTCAGTCTTCGTTTCCTCTTCCTTCTTTACAAATCAGAAAGTCAAAATCCCTATAATTGATAGCTTTTCTGATTTCAACTAGTATATAAATTTATTTACTGACGAAAAACTATCAACATCCGTCTATTTGTATAATTATCTAGGGGGTGTTCAAACGGATTGGTTACCGTGGTAACCATATTAACCGGTAGCATTCGGTTAATTTGGTTTTGTTAATTTGGATAATTGGTTTGGTTTGGTTAAAATTTTTCGTTTATTTGGTTTAGCTCGTTGGTTTGGTTTCAACACTGCTAACCAATGAAACCAATTAACCAATTAATGATACACCTAATTAACCAATTTTTAGTTTATTTGGTTTAGCTGGTTTGGTTTGGTTTAGCTGGTGGAGTGCGTCGGGTTGCAGATTTGGACAACCATATGATTCGATGAGAACGGAACACCATCGTCGTCACAGCGGATGATGGGAAGCGAGTTGGCTACAGATTTGGACAACCTTCCGGCCAGCAGGTAGAAGCGAGTGAGAGCCTTGGCGAGTTACGATTGGGTCGGATTTGGTGGGTGATTGAGGACGATGATTTGTTGAGGGGTGGGGGTTGATTGTCCGGCCATAGAGCAACGGGTATTTTTGGGTGGAGATTCATTAAGGGAGTTAGCTGGGTTCGGGTCAAATATTGACCCAACCCATCAGGTTTCGGGTCATTTCGGGTTATGAGCGTTCTCAGAAACAATATCAAAATATGCTTCATAAATTTATAAAGAACACAATTTTTTACATATGGGTGACAATAGTTTGCCTAGCACATGTTAATTAACAAATGCTCAACTCCTTCCATGCTAATGAAAAGAAATAAAAATTGCACACATCGTGAAAAAACAATGACAAAAATAATACTAATAAAATAAACAAATGATGTTTGATTACCTTTACACTCCCAACTTGTCTTTCAAATCCATATTAAAGTTTTTTTAACATCTCACCAAAGTATGAGAGATTTTATCATTTTGATAGTGACATATACAATGAAACGGGTCTAGCGGGTCGACCCAAAAACCAACCCAACCCGACCCAAAAACTATGGGTTAATCGGTTTCAGTTTAAAAAAACCTCAACCCATTTTCTATTTTTCGGGCGCGTTCGGGTCGGGTTCTCATTTGCCAGATCTAGATGAGGTGGACAAATAATTTTTTTTTTCAATTTGCACGTCATCTACTTAACAGTCAAACTTTATAGTTGACTGTCACGTAAGACAAATTTAACGAAGTTTAACGGCCGGTGACTAACGGTGAAACGATTCGTAAAGTTAATGATGAATAAGAAAGAAAAATAATTCGAATGACAAACGTGAAACATTCATATAATTCGAATGACCAAACATATAATTTAGCCGATAGATAAGTGAGATAGTGGTGCATGTGATCAGTTCCTTTCCTCTTACCGGATATAGCTTTTCCTTCTTTTCTTGGATCCTTCTCACTTAAGGTAAACAGTACACCACCACGATCCAAATGACGATTTATGAAATATAAACCCATATGTAATGTAGGAAGCTCCCTAAATTAAGTAATGTATAGCTCTCTGCAGCCAGCCACTAGGCTAGCTTTAGCAAGAGAATTAATGAGATTGCCATTACCGATTAAAAGCTGGAAGAAGAAGAAAATGAAATGAGATAAAAGGGTTGTTGAATTGGGCTGAAAATGAAATAACTCGATCGCGAGCAACTAGGTGTTCGAATTGGAAAAAATTTGTTCGGCACTCGGATTGTTATTTAACAAGTCGGCTCGCGAGCCAATCCGTTAGTAAACGAGCCAAGTTTGAGCTAGACCATGCTCAGCTTGATAAGCTCGCGAGCTAGTTTGATTTGATGGATTGTTGAGCTAAGCTCGCGAGTTGGCTTGTTTAGATTTTGCGGAATGATTAATTACTTTTCTCAACATGAACATTATCTTGTTAATACGGATGTGTATGGAAGTTAGTTGTTATTTATAGTTTCTAGTGTTCTTTTTATCATTTAAATTCTTATGTGTACACATTTTTCAGCAAGAATGCTTTCAAATCGTGCTTATCTTGAGTCGAGTTTGTACTCCGCTTGACAAGTTGTGTTAATGAGCATTTGCCGAGCTCTACTAAGTCGAGCTCGAGCTGGATTATTTTTAATCGAAAAGAGCTCGAGCTCAAGATGGATAATCAAAATTCGAGTTCGAGGTGAAAAATTTATAAACGAGCCGAGCTCGAACTAAGCAAAAACTCGACTCGGCTCGTTTGAAGCCCTATTTATGGAAGACCTCTAACTTTTCCCTTTAATTTTTATCGGGCAATTTCTTTCTCGTTTTAAGTCGATTTTTTTTTACAGATTGATGAGATTAATTGTGCTTTTCAAAATGAAATTCACTTTTATATAATTTTGGAACAAAAAATTGAGACATTTATTACCAGTCTATACCATATGGTATTGATTGATATCAAATAAGAGGGGAACGGATCAGGTCAGTAACCTTATGATCAGTAACCATGAGTAACCCGTCCACATCAGCATGACATTAATATCCCACTATCTCATAAAAAGTCTTTTATCTTTTTCCCTTTAATCTTTAATGGACGATTTCTCTCTCGTTTTAAGTCGAAATTTAATTTTTTTTGCACAGATCAATCAGATTAAATATGCTCTTTAAAATGACATCCACTTTGATATATATTTTAGTACAAAAAAAATTGAATAATTTTTTACCAGTCATTACCATATGGTATACTCATATTTAATACCATATGGTAAGAAAGCGTACCATAATGGTATGCACGTACCAATCTACACATAAATATAAGGGAATGTCAGAAAAAATTCCTGACACGTCAGCTGCTGCTCCACAGCCCGCGCAGTGTGGAAGCCCTTTTCCATAATTTCCTACCTTTACGTAATCCTATTCTTCCTCCGTCTCTGTCTTCCAATTTTCGCCAGGAAGAGGAAATCGACCTTATTTTCCCCCATTGTCCGGTTTCATAGACGGCGCCACTGTCCTCCTCCGTCTTTCTTTTCCAATTTTTGCTAGGAGGTTGAGTGTATTAGTTCCCACTGGCCGGTTGAATTCGCTGCTCCCAATTCTTCTTCTGTATTTCTCTTCCAGTTTTCGCCAAGGTGGACGGTATTTTGGCCTACTTTGTAGTTGAATCGACGATGCCATTGGCCGCTACACTTTCTGATTTCTTGGAATCGCCTACCGTGGGTGTCGGAAGAACCATTGGAACCGAATGGAGGGAGCATCAAAATTCCCCTATTGTTGACGAAGCCTCTTGCTCAACGTAGATCCCTTGTCTGTGCCCACCTTTTCCCTAACTTTCCGGGAATCAACGCTTCCCCTTGGCCAACGCAGCTTCTCCCGCCCACTTCTGACTCTCAATCTTCCTCCTTAGTCGAGGAAGCCCCTTGCCCACAACTTTTGATGTCCACTCCTGACTCTAAATCATTGGCGCCCCTGCTAACTGTAGCTCCACTGTTCCTGGCCGTCTTTTCCCCAAATTTGTGGGGAATCAACAGCGCCCCTTGCCCACAGTTTCTCACGTCCACACTTGACTCTGAATCACTAGTACGCCACCTCCCAAACTAGGGGTTGAAATACCCTTAGCAATTGAGGATCTCCATTGATTTGTTTCCAGCTACGTTATTAATTTGTTTTTGTTTATGATTTTTCTGGGTAAAACAAACTAAGCACAAGCACTTATTCTGATTGACGTGCTTTTGTGGTAAAACAAGGACAACTTTAATGCCTCCTAAGCGTCCTCGCGATGCCGCTTCTTCTAGCCAAAACCGTCCATCATTGTCCACCTCTGCTACTATTAGATGTGACTTTTCCTATCTTAATTTACTGTGTTCGTTCCGAATTGCATCTCATATTTTCGCTTGAATTGTGATTTATTTGATTTGTGTATTTTGTTGTGCTTTGTTACGGAGAGGTAGGGCAATATTTTTCTCGCCTGAAGGACCAACACTAGCCGACGTCGACAAGGAGAGGACAAGTCTTAAGGTTAGTAGGTTCAATTTTTTATCGTTTGTAATTTATTTTAATTACATTATATATGTTCTTATTTGTGTTTTTTCTTAATCATAGTTATTGACAAGCTGAAGTGTCGGCTCATTCATGTCGATCGTCATCTTTCAAATTTAGCTTGGAGGATAAGGAAGTTCCTTTTGGTAATGGGACGTATCCATGGAGTACGTGTTTTCTCAGTCCCGGGTACGTATCAATCTACATTTAGTTATTCAGTATCATTTTTTCTATTTTGCGCCCACATTATATATTGTTTAGTTTTGTACTCTAAAGTCTCCAACTAATAGTGTTCATCGATACAGACCTAAGCATTTCGCCTATATAATTGGTTCCTTGGTTGTCATTGTGTTGGGCGTTACTCCTGGGAGGAAGTTTGTTAGTACATTTCGCCTAAATGGGTCGTTTTATGGATGTTTTGGGTTTTAATGAAATTTGGGACTTTAGATTGTACATAATTTGGTTTGTCTGTTTCCAATGACAATAGGTATTTGAAATGGGAAATAGCATGGATATGTCAGGTTCATTACATGAGCAGTTCCTAATCCATGTGTTTGTCCAACACACCTATAGTTTCTGTTTTTCTTAGCAGTAAGTACTCTGTATAACTTTTGGACAACATCACTTTGCAATTCCTGGGACTGTGATGCTGGAACATCTTGGAACTGAGTTGCTTTCCAGTGTTTTATCAGGTTATGCCTGACTTCGACTTCATAGTTTTATGATTCCTTTTGTAATGTAACCTTCATACCTTTGTTAGTAGCTTATTCTTCGTCAGTATAATGGTTTTTTATATGGGAACTACCTTTCTACACACTTCATCTCTTCTTTCAGAGTTATATTCTTTTTATGGCAGGTGAACTTGCAAGATTAATGGAAGCAGAAATCCGGACTTTATCTATTCACCAAGACCCGGGATGTCAGAAGGTGGCAAAACCACTAGCAAAGGGCAGCTAAGACAAGAAACAATGTTGCAGTATCGGTAATGAGAATTATTGAAATGCTGCCAGCCTGCAGTTATGATGAGGTTAGTTTGTCGTAGGAATCAATTCCTAATCATTTGACTCAAAGTTAGATACATATGATATTCTAACCTCTGAAACTAACCAATATACATGGCTTAAAGGTTTTACAGTAGCTTAGACATTTAGAATTCTCTCCATAATCACCTGTTTGTTAGCATTATTTGGAATCTTCTGATTCTCCACATGATAACGATGCTTATGTTGGCAGCCATTTAGTAATCTATCTGATTATGATAATGAACTTTTGGTTGTTAACTATGATTTTTGTTTCCAACATCTCTAATATGTTTGTGAATGGTTTGGATATTATCAAGTTTAGAGTTTTAGATTGTACAAAGTTTTGTGGCAGTTAAGGACAGGAGCAACATGCATTTGTTAATTTTCAGCTTTTAATCACCATTAATCCTATATAGCTTTCTGTGGGATAGGGGTAAAATGTCATTCTTTTGGCCTAGAATTGTTGATTTCATATATTGTCATTCCTTGTGGAACATAGATTAGTTGTGTGTGCATCCTGTGAATCTCCATTTTCGCAGGTTAGTGTATGGTAGAAGTTGCTTTGGTAATGCTTATTCTTGGAATGCTTCAAACTTGCGGAATTGATGAGATTTGTTTACTGTAGGACTCATTTCCTAATTGTTTGACATCAATTTAGAAACTTTGGATTTTCTAACCTGCTGAGATTAAGCAAGTTACATGGTATACATGTTTTGCAGCAGTTTGGACAGAGGGAATAGGTCAAGGCAAAACTAAAGGAATAAGATGTGATATAGCAGCCGCAATGTTCAGAATTTTTCTTATTTAACCTGATATCTATGTCTAAAATAAAAATTATTAAAATTAATTTTCATTTTTGAAAAACAAAGAAATTCCCAATGATGTAGGCTGTTCACTTACAAGTTTGGTACCATGAAGTCACCTTTGGATAGGAGAACATTGCTTTAGTGATTGCGAGTTTTTGGTACGTAACAAATTCTGACGTTTAGATTCCATAGAGGTTTGGTTATTGTTCAATGCAAAGGTGTACAATGAAGTTCAAAATATCAGGCGATGATCGTCGGCGACTGGACGCGAGGGAGACTGGCGGGCGGCGGCGGCGACTGGCGAGATCGGCAGGAAGCTTCGGCGGCGGCGAGATAGGTCGGCGGCGGCAATCGGTTGGCGGCGGCGAGAGAGGAGTCGCGCGGGTGAGAGGAGTTGAGGGGGGGGAGGAGAATGAATTTGAATTGGTAAGGGTTTGTTTGTTTAAGCCAATTTTGAGTTTTTGCTTAAGGGTATATAAGTAATTTTACATTTAAGTTAGGGCGACATTTAGCAATTCTCAGGGCGACATTAGCGATTCAGCTTAATTACCTACATCACTATATTCTGATCTCTCCTATCTCTGTATACAAAAAAAAAAAAAAAAAAAGTCCCACCACAGATACAGGATTATGCTATGGCCCAAGTCTCAAACGCGCAAACAAAAATAACAGCAAAAAATGACTATCGCCGTTGCCGGGGATCGAACCCGGGTCACCCGCGTGACAGGCGGGAATACTTACCACTATACTACAACGACCATATTGAAAGAATTGTGAGCATATAGTAAAAGAATACCGACACGCATGCATATATTGTCCTTGAATTCAAAACTGAAGTGTTGTTACCTCTGTGGTCATATAAAGTTGCAGTTTACCCATATAGAATATTTTTTCTCCCGTAGCTAGAAATCTATTGAGTCCACATTATTGTTTAGTGTTTCTGTAAGAGCTTTAAAGTGACATTTCGTTAGCAACTCACATTATTGTCTGGCACCAATCACATTATTATGCAGGGGCGGGGGATACGTGGAGTTTAAGTTGATGAGATACCCGATTATGGTTTGATGAGCACATGCACATCAGTTAGGTTGTGTTCTTTAATTATGATGGTTAATAAGATGTCTATGATTTTGGTGCTTCATATCCATGGAAGAAATTAATGCTACATGTCTAAATTCAGTGAAGTTTTGATACGATTCTAGTTTTTTATTTTATTTTAGAGTTAGTACTATAAATACAGTACAACTTTGGATTAGCCAATAAGACTAGATTATATATTTTATTATGGTTTCAATTAAACAAAACTCATTCCTTTACAGTCGAATGAAAAAACTACAATCCCCATTTCGAATTTCGTGAATGGGGAGCGATTCCAATAAACTCCATTTAGTAATTGTATATAATTTGGTTATATATTAAAAAGTTGGTTATTGAGCTTTGAAATCATGTTACTCAAATGTAGAAAAGTATTATAAGTTTATAAACAACTAGACTACAAATGATAAATCTAAGATTCAACGAAAATAAAGGATAAATCTATATCACTCATACAAAAATATAAAAATAAAAGTAAAAGCAACTAAACTACATTGTATTTGTTGCAATTTCGTTAATTAAACACTGGAGACATATTCGGTATATGATGTTTATATTTTATTTGAAGTTAGTGATATCTTATAGAATGAAATTAATCCTAAAATCAAAACTCAATATAACACTGATTTGATTATTAAATATTTAATTGTACGTGTTGTTTAGTTTAGACAAAATATCAAAGATTGAAAAGGTGTACCGAAAAAGTCAGCGGTAAAGTATTGTATGTTGAAACCATTGTTTAATAATGGTTCAACCTTTCATACCGCTAAATACCGCCTACTAGTTTTGCTTTCGATATGAGGTTCTTCTGGTTGAACCGTCGGTACGGTATGGTTTTCAATATTTGAAAAATACATATGCATAACCAAAATGTCGACCTTTGTGACAAAAGTAGTAAGCTTTTATACTACAAATATAGTCATTCCATACATGAAATATGTTAAACTTAATACCTCCATCATACCAATGTTGACTATATAAATTGGATACACTAACGCGATATTTTTTTGTGTTAACTTGACAACTTGGAGTTTTTTTTTTGCAAGTCTTATGCTAATTAACTTAAATAAAAAATAAAGCAACAAAAAGAAGGGAAATATTCACTAACAAAAAATGAACATTAAGAGGGACAAATGAATAGTCACATAACCTTTCTTTCCAACCCATTTTCTATCTTTCTTTTCTGCTTCTTCTCCATTTCTCACCATCAATAAACTTCAAACCAATGTTGACTCCCATCTAGCAGCATATTTGAGCTAATTGAAGGAAGGAAGGAAGGAACACTAAAAAAAACCTAGTTTTAGTGAGAGAGATTATTTGACTCCGAATGTCATTTAATTGATTATGTATATCTATTGAAGCAAATATATTATTTGCATCGGACGCCTCCGTCTCTAATTCCTTTTAGAAGCAAATGTAGATGCAAGTTATATATGTTTCTAATTAAGGAATTAGATGCGGATTGATTTGATACTAAATCCACTTTTAAAAGCATGTATTTTACTTTGTTAATTACTTTTAGAGGGAGATATATTTGTTTGTAATGGTAGTTATTGGGGCGAATTTAATTGTTCTATTTGTGTGTTTAGAGGGAGTTGAATATGTCTCATATAGACTTTTGGAGACCAATATTATTGCTTCTAATAGTATATATATATTTTGTTGCAGGGAGGCACTAAGGCCAAAGAAACAGAAGGATACAGGAGGGGAGGTTACAAAGTCAAAGGAGAGTGAGTAGGAACAATGTCCCTGGAGAAAGTGATACTCTGGTCATCTTCTTTGAGCAGCGGCATCAAGTTTTGAGGGGGGTTTGACAGCTCATGTACACCGTAGGGATAGACAAGACTGTGCTTCGAGAGCCATTCCACGACTCTATTCACTTCCCTGTATACATGAGACAGTCGAATCACCCAGTCTTGAGCCAGCTTCCTACGGATGGCTGCCAAAATAGTCGCAAAAGGATGAAGAGGATCCGTTCTGTTGTTCACTAGATCGATATCCAGTCTTGAGTCCGATTCCACCAGCACGGTATGGCAGCCATGCTTCCAAGTGAAGTCCAAACCATGGAAGATACCCCATAACTCTGCTATCACTGCCATAACCTCCGATCCACCGTCCATCACTACCCCTCAGCACCCCACCTTCTCCTGCAGTGCCCGGGTGCCGCTTAGCGGCTCCGTCAACATTTAACTTCAGCCAGCCGGTAGGAGGATGCTGCCAACCGATATCCGCTTTCACTCTCTGTAAAATGGTAGATTCATGGCCTGCACCGATATTTAGGCCTGTCCACGCGTCATACCACAACCGGGACTTAACTTTGATCGCATGGGTGAGGGACGGTGCTGACATGGTCTTGCTGACTCCCTGGAATGCTCCCTCATTTATATTCTTCCACAGAAGCCAGATGGAAATACTGAAGAAGGCATTCCAGGGGATGCTAGTCGAGGAAGAATCCTCGTTGCAGATGTTATGTCTGAACCATTGCTGGGTTACTGACAAGAAAAATTCAGCTTGCTTCAAGGGAGGCACCGTCCGAGCCCAGAAGAAAGACAACAGAGGGCACTCGCGGAAGAGATGCCCATTAGAGGTCGGCCGCCAAAAGAGGGAGTCATCACTAGTTGCCAGAGGGTCCACCGCATACGCCGTGATCAGCTGCTGAATTTCAGGGGGAAGGGGGTCGTTGAACTTGTGAGTTAGCCGTCTACCCTCCTTGTCAACGAAATCCGCAACTTTGAGGTCGAGCTTCTCTTCCAGAACTGGGTGTGTCGTCAATTCAGCAAGTGAAACCTGCAAAACCCACACATCAGACCAGAAACGAACACGATTACCTTTATGAATGTTCCAAGCCGCCCCTTGTTTGACAAGATCAGCAGTTTTAACGAAGCTGGACCAAGCAAAAGAACTTCCATGACGGCGTTGCAGGATGTTGAGGTGCTCACTCCTTCTCCCATACTTCGCTCTCATCATCTGACACTAGAGGCTGTTGTGATCATTGATGATTCGCCAGATCCCTTTAGCCAACATTGATAGGTTGACAGGTCTCGTAGGTCGGATACCCAAACCACCATCACTTCTGGGTTGCGTGACCTGGGACCAAGCAAGAAGGTGCATTCTCTTCTTCTCGTCTGAGTCGCCCCAGAGGAAGTCCCGATTGATCTTATCTAAACTCCTGCAAACATTAACAGGAAGGAGTTTCATATTCATCGGATAAATAGGGATAGAGGATGATACCGACTTGACCACAGTCAACCGAGCTGCTAAGGAGAGTTGCTTGGCTTTCCAAGGAGCGAGCTTCCGATGAATCCTAAGGATGAGGTTGTGATATCACGCCCTAGCAAATCTCCCATGGATAGCTCTGACTCCAAGGTAGAGACCCAAATCAACCGTCAGAGGGATCTCGGCCTATCTGCTCATTCTCCTAGCTCATCGACGACCAATATTGGGCGAGATGAAGATTGTCGACTTATTATAATTCACCCTTTGACCAGAGCTAGAGCAGAACTCGTCTAGGCATTGCTTGATGGTCCTGATTTGCTAAGTCTCCGCCCCTGCAAACAGAACCAAATCATCGGCAAAAAAAGGTGAGAAAGGGTTGGGCCCCCCGGAGACAAGGTAATCGTGTTCCACCGCTTCTCCCTTATCGCCTGATCAATCCTGTGAGAAAGCCTTTCCATACACAAGACAAAAAGATAGGGGGAAAGGGGGTCTCCTTGTCTAACGCCGCGAGACGGGGTGATTGGCTCGGACAACTCTCCATTCCACAGTAACTGACTCGCTACGACACAACTCCTAACAATGGCCAAGTGTAACCAATGGAAGGGACTGCAGTATAGTGGCTCAAGTGATAAATATCGAATCCACGGGTCTCTA